TATGGATAATAATGAAAAAAATAAATAAAAATCCATATTCTTGTTTAGAAAACTAATGTTTTGTTAACATTACTTTAATAATTTTAAAATAAAAACATTTCCATAAGCACCCTTGGTTCTCAACCAGTATATCCTTGAATTATAATTATGTGATGTGCAGTTAAAAAAATGTTTAATTTAATTTTAATATTATTTATTTTTAATGTAATAAGTTAATTTACATTTTTTTCAAGAAAATGTAAAATGAATGTAGTAATTTGTATTAAATATAATTTTATTTTCAAAATTAATTAATTAATAAAAGTGTTGTAATTTATTTAGATATTAGTTCTACAGTAAGGTTGAAAACCGCTGAAGAAATAATTTGAATCTTTATTTAAAAAAAAAAATTAATTAGATGATTGAACACATCTCTTTTCAGGACTTTTCGACAAAAGCCCTGATGTAAACATAAAGCAAATTCAAAAAGTTCCCGAACTGTCATTCCTATAAATGGACAAATTACAGCATCAGAAATGTATATTGCTGTCTAGCCATTTAGTAAACACATTTAATGTAGATTCATGTGTATCATTTTATTTTTAAGATAACTAATATTCACAAACAATGAATAAATATTAAATTTTGTGATAATCTTCTACTGAGACTCATTAAATGATAAAAAATATTAATAGTGATCACTGACGTTCAGAATTCAAATTCAACTTTAATTTCACGCACCTTTTAATATAAAACCATACCATCATCTACAGAAAAAACATTATTTCCAAACAAAAAGAAATTAAAGTTCAAACTGCAATTGTAATTAATATAATTTATATAAACTGATAATTATTATAAATCTATTATGTGGCAATGCGACTATAATGTAATTCGAATGTTTTGCTTTGTTGACAAATATTTTATTTTTCTAGGTTGATACATTCCCACTACTCAACTACACAAACTCCTCTGCATTACGATTAATATACATATATATATATTTAAATAACTATTAAGTATTAACCGTTGATTAGGACGTCATGTACCATGGTGGCATTAAGTCCATTTGTATAGTACACTGTTCATTAATAATCGTTTTACGTGCTTATAGCACACGTTTTTTTTGTTGTACATATATTTAGGTGACGTCCAGCTCGGCGACACTCAGCATTACCTCATTTCTAAAAATTTTTATTCGAGACTAATAACATTGTATTGCTTATATTCAACCGTGTGCTTCTGGCCACCTTACACACCTTAATTACAATAATTTCAACCTTTTGCAGTCTCTAATTGGGTTATTAATCGCTTATACTCGTACGTGTAATGTGTAATTAACTTCATACATTATTACCCTATTCTTATTCAGTTACCTACCGGGTAAATTCATTCCTAAATAAAACAATAATGTTTATCATAATACATTGCAAAATTATTGCATTTGTTTATAATTAAAATACACAATGAGTAAAGCATTACTCGACTTCCTGGCTTGTCCGGCGCAATGTACAGGCAATTTGACTACGTTGATGCATAGATCAACAACATTCTAATGTCTATTCTAGGTGTTATAACCAAGTAATAAATTACTAGCCGCTGATCATTTAAATTAATTATACCATAAAAATATTAAGTGAAATATTTAGACTTCATAACATAATAATGATGATAATATGTGTTCGATTGTCATTGTATTAGATGTAAAAAAAAAAATAGAAAAATGTTTCTATGTTATAGCGTTAAATCGAAAGAAATAAAAGTCAGAATGTTCGTTAAAATATTATAAATCCCTAATATTATATCTAAATTTATATCTAATATAACATATAATTAGCAATAATGGTCTTTAGAAAGATAAACGGACGAACAAATTGAAGTGATTTAAGTTTTAATTTACCACGATTTCAACAAATACGTTAATGTTAATAACTTGATATTACTTGTTATAAATATAACGATATACGTTTGCAATTACTTAAAAAATGACACGCATGCGAGTGTATTATAAATCTTGACGGATTTTCGTCTTATGGTTCGTGTGTCGCGATCTTGAAAATTTAGTCCTATAGCACGCGTATAGAAGTTTCACTTCAAAAAACTTTAAGTACATGCGAATAAATAATAGCTTGTTGAATAAAGTGACCAACTTCGTAATCAATGTTTAACATAACTCGATAACTTATAATAATTTAAACAATAAGTGATTTAAATCCCTAATTATATAAATTGTTTAAATGCTGTATTTATTTTTAACTAGTATAAGTAATAAGGACATTTATAACAGATTGTTTATTTATTTATTTAATTATTTATTATAATATATAAATTAATTGAAGCCAGTTCAAAATATGATGAAACTAATTACAGATCACACATCACACTAATATACATTTAATTATATTGAATAGGTATACATTTTGACATTCAATATATTTTTTAGTTATATTTACAATATATATATATATTATATATAATTATTAATTACGATAAGTATAGATTTTATAAGAGAATGAGAAGCACGTAATAGATCATGAGACTTACTCTTAATCGTTATTTTGAATGTTAATTCCAAAAAGGTTCCTCATTCGAAAACTCATAATATCAATTTTTAGATGTTGTGGTTTCAGCGTGAACTACTTATGAAGAATCTTGTACAAAATTTCAAAACTTAGATATAAAATGAAAATTGAAAATTATTGGTACTTTTCTGACTGGTGAAAAAAAAATCAAATATTTTTAAAATTTTAGCAGTATTAAAATAATTCATAGGAGACCTTGCAGATTTAAATGTAAAATCCCCAACTATCTGCAGACCTGTAGTAGTATTAAAACAGTTACTTTCTGAAATAAACCGTCACGATAATTTTAAGCAATATTTCTTCTAATTTTTTTTGCCTTGTACATGGTAGTCATTAAAAATATTTTGACACTTCTAATTTTAAATTTTTATAACAATGATATTATTATCCTGATATCATCCGCTGCAATGACAAATGGTACACCTATCGATTTATCTGATGTTTTTTTATATTATATTTATATATTATTCTGTTAATATGTTTGGGACCTGTGAGATATCGATGATATCGTATATCAGACATGCCCAACCTTTTTCAACTGGCGGGCCACATTCAAAATGTATATTTGTACTGCGGGCCGTATATGCTTCATGGGTTTTTTTTTTGTTAATTTCGATAAAATATAAACTAGTCACAGGTATATCTATTGTACATTTTATCGGATATAATATTATCTTTGTTCACTTATCGAATTTATGACTCAAATCATATGTGTTTAAAGTTCTCAATATTTCCACGCTATAGTTGTTAGTTTGTTTACGTCATTAAAAATTATTTTAAATTCTTAAAAACTTAATAAAATACATTTTTTTTAAATAATAATTTTTTTTTACACCTATACAAATTTCTAATTTTTATAAAATGATTATGGGCCGGTTGAAACACCTTCGCGGGCCGAATTTGGCCCGCGGGCCGCGGGTTGGGCATACCTGTCGTATTCGTTCCAAACTCCTCATTTCACCCGGTAAATGAGCCAAAATCTTGGTAGGTAATATAGCTAGTATTATTTATCTAATGCAGACTATAATAGCCTATTTTATTTCTAAAATCGTTAGAAATGATTAAAAAAATATCGTCAAATTTTACTATTAGTTTAAGAGGTGATTCCGATCAAACAAAAATACAGAATTTTTAATATTATTAAAGTTTTAAAAAATAGGCATGCATTGCGTAGTTCCGCTGAGAAGACAATAGTCGTGATTACGAACGACCACAAGATGGAATTTGACATTTCAACGCCATCTCTTGAGCGTTGTAAACGTTTCACTTTTACTAAAAATGCCGTTCACGCAAATGTTTGACATTCATTATAATTTATAATTTATTTATTTATAATAGTTTAATAATTTTATAAAGGTAACATTATATTAAATATTTAATAATTTGGAATCTAAACTTTAGAACGTATTACTAAATAGTATTTATTACATAGATACTTTATGTCTTTATTACCTCGATTTTTAGTTTCAACATTTTAGTATCGAAAAAAATTAATAAATATCTTTGCATTTGAGATAGTTATACATATTACATTTAAAATACATTCACAAGACTTTTATTTATGATCATTTATTTGTTTATTAAAGTCAAGAAGAGTTTCCCCATAAATTGGAATAACAATATCTAATTACTCAATAAAGTATGGTATAATATATTTTATGGACCTATTATACAATATGCGGCATCGTGTTGACAACAATTATTCTAAAGTACTTATTTTACAGTGGCGGCATCAGGATTTTTGGAAAATATTTAATGCATTTTTAACATAAGAACACAGACCTACACATTTCCATATTGCTTGTTGTAAGGACATAAGTATATAGGTGGTATATATGGTAAGTATAATGGATAATAATAATAATTTAAAATATGAGTAAAAAAGGTAATTTACCTAAATCATAAAGCAATATCACAATATGATTAACTTAATATCTTATTTTATGATTTTTTTTTTTAAGTGAAAAATTAAATTGTTATTAAACAAAATAAGTTTTAAATACAAAGTATTTATTAAAATAAATTAAGTTTTTGATTTATTTTATAGAAATATTATTAATGGTCAAGATACTTATAGGTTTGGTTGGATAAAATCATATGTATTAGATTTAAATAATTTATTGACTAACTAGTAATTATTTAACTTGTTGGTACTGGTACATATTTTGATTTACAAATTAATTTAAAATCAACATCTATAGAAACCTAATCCATATAAATTTTACAATCATACGGCAAATACCTAATTGAAAATGTGATACTTCATAACATCATTTATAAACATTATTAGTATTTATAATCAATGTTCATAGGTAGCAATTCTTTAACTTTTAAAAGAATATATGTGTACTGAAATAAAATATTAAAATGTATTAATAACTATTGCATATTTACAATTTAGGAATAATCTTAATAGAATTTAAATAATAATCATTAAACTTCAATGTGTAAACGAAAAATCATTTTATTGTAGATAAAAACATTTCTAATTGTTTACGTTTAGAATTGGTAAGTTTTTTATGTTTTTTTAAATCACTAGTACCCATTCCTCTTGGTAATTCATCTTCATCCAAAAGTATTTCCATTTCTTCAGCAGCTTTATTAAACCAATTAGTGGATGCTGTTTCTTTCTTTGCCTTTTCTTCCAATGAAGTTATTTCCTGGGCCAATTTTACACATGCATGAAACGTTTGCAACATTCGTAGTTGTACTTCAAACCTTGGCAATTCTTTTTCTCTTTTCATGGTTCTCAATACGTTCAAGTATACATTCTTTTTATCAGGAGTACAAATTAATAGAGATAACCCAATATTTGATGCTCTTGCAGTACGGCCACTACGATGGATGTAGATTTCAGCCGTTCTTGGGACATCATAATGTATCACATGATTAACACCAATAATGTCAAGACCTCTTGCAGCCACATCAGTGGCGAGTAATATGCCATGGTCATTAGCTCGGAATTTGTCTAAATTTTTAAGTCTTTGTTTCTGAATCATATTTGAATGTATAGGTAATGGATTTAGTTTAAGAATACTTAAGACACTAGCGAGTCGTTTCACACAACTTATACTATTGCAAAACACTAAACTTCTACCAGGATTTTGTTTCAAAAAGTAATACAAATATCCATCTTTTTCCTTAACTGAACAAAATATTTGCATTTCTTTCACTGTACTAGTAACACAATTTACAGTTGTCAAGTTTACAACATGTGGATTTTTCATACCAATTAATTGAATTAAACTTTTCAATTTATCTTCAGGAGTTAAATTTTTCTTAATTTTTTTCTTATTCTTAATGTTCATTCTGTATGGAGCTTTATGCACCATAGTAAGTGTTGCAGAGAACACAAAATTTTGTCGCTTATTATTTCTTTTTAAATTAATTTTTTCAAGCATAAGATGTAATTCAGGAAAATGTGCAGTCTCTACCATACGATCTGCTTCATCAATCACAAAATACTTTACTTTATTCAATTGCATTAAATGTGGCTCATTTCTCTGTACTAATTCCCAAAGACGTCCTGGTGTAGCGACAACAATTTCTGGACCTTTTTTTAAAATCCTTTCTTGTTTTTCACTAGACAGTCCACCAACAATAGCAGCGATACTAATATCTGTAAACTTGGCTACATCTTCAATGTGATTTTTTACTTGCATGGCTAGCTCACGGGTAGGTACAAGTATGACTGCCCATAATTTTTTATTAGTTCTTATATAATTATCTGGTGGTAAGTTAACAACTGCTACGCAACCTAGTCCGTTTTCATCAAGTTCTTCCAAGACTTCTGGTTCAATGTCATGTTCTGACTCTGAATCAGAGGCTGATTCTGAGTCAGAATTTGAAGCATCTGATATCGATTCCGTAGATCTTGCATTGAGAATGCCATTTAAAATAGGTATTGCAAAAGCTAATGTCTTACCACTTCCAGTTTCGGCCGCACCAAGTATGTCTCTTTGATCTTTGATAGCTGGGGGAATTGATTCCGATTGAATTTTGGTGGGTTTCGTGAAGTTTTTCAATTTAAGAGCGTTTAATATTTCTGTCCGGATGTTCAACGACTTCCAATCCTCCATGGCTGTTGGACAAAAACCTAATGAAATAAATCGGAATTAACAATACATACTCATCAATAATATTATTCGTAGTATATTTTAAAAAGTTAGTAGTTACCACTAATAGTAATAGGTCTAGATTAAATAGAAATTAAATGAAAATTACTTGACTATTTGATATTTCGCATTTGAATTATTTGATTAGGTAGCTACTTCATTCATATATTGATAAATGATAGTACTTATCTATATTATAAGCACGTGAATGTTATCCATAAAGTAGCAAATTTTATAGTATTATTTGAGGTTATGTGCAATTTTTGTTAATTTATAATTAAAATCTGTATTTTACATTTTTACACTCTAGTCTCTAGGATTTTACTACTTTATAGAAACCTCCTGAATAACCTAAATTGCAAATATACTCAATTTATAAATCCTGTAGAAGGTTGAAGGAGAAGACTAAAGATTTGACATTTTTATAGATGGCCTTTAATTTTGTACCAAAAATGTATAATATTTTAATTTTTACTTAATAAATATTGTGTATAAAACAAAATAATACATAATTATCATATCCTTAATACGAATAAAAATATTTATTTAAAAAAATTTTAAATTATATTTCAATAACATAAAAAATGTTGTACAAAATACAACAATTCGCTTCAAAAAAAAAACTATAAATCGTTTTAAATTAAATAATTTGAATTATATTTCATATATTGAGACCCATCATCCAATAAATTTCTTGATAATCCTTCTTGACGTCTTAAAACGAAATGGTATAGAAACTTCTTAAACAATAAAATAATTAATAAAAAAAAAAAATAAAAAAATTAGCAACAAAATTCAATAGAAGGGTCATTAATGAGAAGCTTCTTCTATCAAGTATTTCTTAATATTGTAACTTAATTTATATTCTTGTTGTATCTCAGATTACAGGTTGCATACATCTCTTTTAAAAATAAAAAATATTAAAAATATTGATATCTATAAAAAAATTTAGCTCAAGGATTTCAAAAATCTTATCTGGTCTTGATGACATGGAATGTCCTCCATAGAATTCCACCATGGCTATATTTTTATAATTCAAAATACCTGTACGTACTTCAATTTATGAATACATTGGAGTGTTTTTTAATTCTTTGTGCACTATTATTGTAATTGACAAAATATAATATACAGTTAATGATAACAATTTTCGATTTATTTTCATTTCCTATATTATTTATTAAATATTGACTATTAGGAAAACTTGTGATGATTTACCTTAAATCCAAACGTATTGCTGAACCAGGAATTTTAAATGGAAAGAGAGTTATTATAATCATAACAATTTATTACAGTCAATTAAAGAAAAATAACACATTATTTATATTTTTATAAAAAGTAGGTAACAATTTCACTGCTAGTATCTCCAATGTCGATAATTTAAGTATAATAATTCGTTAAAACACGCTTTTTTATTTTTTCGTTTGGTGAACTAAAAATATGACATGCAAAACTAAAAGAATCGTAAATGTTCTGTCGGTTTATCTCTCCTTCAAAAAATGTACGCTTATACTTTACATTTTTTATGTATATATGATATATCTCATCACTTTATAGCTTAAATCAAGATTAGAAATAGAGATTTAATAGAGACAAGTATTAACTAGAGGATAGAGATCATGATTTATGATATATTTTTAATCTCGGTACTTGCCGACTACTTGGTAGAGACTAGAGATACGGCAACATTTTTTTATTACTATTTTTATAATTCGCTTCAAGATCAAATCCGACTGTCGCTTATTTTAAACTATAGATGGCGGTGTTGTATACGTTTTTTGTTTTTATTTAATTTTCGCATATTATTACCTATTATCATTTTCCTATTTCGAGATTCGAGTCAACTTAGCCGGTTTACCTATGCCATTTTTTTTTTTTAATCAATTAATAATAACAATAGAAAGATATAAGTTTAAAATCATTGAATAGTGCAGTACCGGGTATGATTTACCTAATCCGATCTAACCTAACAGCTCAAACCTAGAGACATCGTATATTATGTTGTTCTTTTTTCTGATAAATAAAATGTTGACCACCGAACATTATTTACAGTGGAATGGTGATCCAAAATCTTATGAAGTTAAAAATGAATTTCAACCTACGATAATTGATCATATTATATTTTTATAAATTGAGATATAAGCTAAAAATAGCTGTGTTATGTATGTACGAATGCAGCACTGCAAATTACAATATAGGTACTAATTCGGTATAATTTATTATTATCGAATACCTAGCCATGGTTTGTTAGGTTATTTCCTCAAATTATTATTTATCATAAGATTTTTTTAAGTTTTTTAACTTTATTAACAACCGAGCATGGTAACAATTTTTTTATTTTATATAAAATGATATAATATCGTCTACGTTTAAAACTAAATTATAAATATAATATGTATTTTTGTTTTTCTCATAGTTAATTATAACAAGTATACGGCGTGCGTGAATTTTTATATTAAGACTTATAAAATTAAATTAAATTTTAATATTTTATTGTTTGGTAAACATAATTTGAATTCCGGAGAGTAATATAATTATGTTTATATACCTATAGACTATAGTCTATACTTTATAGTACCTTAGATAGATAAGTTTCAATCGCGTGCATTAAAATCACTTACCGAAATTACGAATCCGGAATTAATAAACTGGTAATTTTGTAAAGAGTACGACGCAGTAATCAATATTTAACAATTTGTTATTAGGCTATATATAGACACAAGTAGTTGATATTTTTGAGATGACTATAATCCCTCACGTTATTCCTCCAAAAAATAATTTGTATTTATTTATGCAATTAATATTATTATGTATATTTCATTAACTTTAGAAATCTATTTAGTCCGTAAATTTGGTGTGAGGTTGGGTTGGGGGTTAAAGGTAAAATTAAAGTACATCCCAAATTAAAATTTTGGCCATTTGCGTGTGTATTATAATATTTATAGGTACATTTCAATAATTTTTATTAATCAATTTAACTCAAAAAAAAAAAAAAAAATTTAAAAAAAAAATATTCAGAATATAAATTTTTATTTTTATAATAAATTATGAAAAGTCAATAGATAAAAATAGTTTAATAAGGAGGGATATGGCACCCTAATATCCCTTTCTCCCGTGATCACACCACTGAATTCGACTACAACAGTGACGTACGAAATATGTGTGGCGGCGGTATTGTCTAAGATGAAACAGATGCGAATGCTAGGCATATATATCGTCGTATGGGGTTACTAACTACTGTTGCACATTAAACTTGCATATACTAACAGATGACGTGTTAAAAATACAATATATATTATGTATTGTACAATGTGCGTCATCGTGGTGATGTATATACATCATATTATATTTACTTAATACATATAGACGTAGTCGTTCAATATTGTAGTTATTGTACACGTACGGTAATATTAATAGGCATATAGATAGTATAGCAAGTAAATATTATGTGTCTCGGTACTCTTAAATATATTATCAATTATCACAACTTAAATACTTAATTTAATTTTATAATTTATTATATAAATAAAGATATTTAGATATTAAATTTAACGGATATGGTACGATATGGTAAATTAGAAGTGTGAGTGTTTGGTACTAAGTCCCCTTCCATATTTTATTTTTTAAGATTAGAGCTAATCTGTATATTTATAAAAATATAGTATAATATAAGGTCTATAAGTATTATGTACATAATATAATATTATATATGAATATGATAGCAATATACCTATAAAGTATAAAGTTTAAGTGCGGTGGTATTGTGGTAAGAGTGGTATATTTATATGGTTGTAGGAGGGTGGTAAATTTTGGATGAGCTCTAAATACAGAGTATAAGTACCTACTTCTCTGATTTGAGGGAAATTGGTACTTATAGGTTTTTAGGTTGTACATTCGAACAGATTCGAATAGCTTACTGTTGTAATGTTTTTATTATGTTTTAAAAGTATTACTGACTTCCGTACGCGTGCGAGCTTTACAGAGATACACACTCGTTTTTATTATACATTCATTTATGTATATTAGGTATATTAAATTTGTTATTTATACCAAACACAGCCGGCCGACGTTTTCTATTTTTAGCAAATGCTTTATGTTGGACGGACACGCATCCACGTATATTTTCTATGTTTTAATAACTGTAAGCAATTCCCGTAGTAATACTGCAGTTTTTATACTTCTACTTTATTCTTACTTTATTCTATAATGAGAATGTCGTGTACTCGACACATTTAATGATTTTACCGTAATCGTGACTACATCAATATTAATGCTAAATTGTCTAGCCACAAAAACCATTACAGTAACAAAAATGTTTTTTTAATTTTTAAATAGTAAATACTAATTACTTGCATAGGTAATGATAGGTATAAAAGACAGTAGCCGGTTGGATCCTCGAAATATAATTAAAAAACCATTGTGTTGACTCTTTCTCCTTGACATTTGTACCTACTAATAAAGCTATAAATTATAATTTATAAATTTATAATATCTTCATTAGTAGCTATCAGTGGCGTGTTGACCGTGATTTTGAAGGGCAGATGCCCGATCATTTTTAAGGGGTGGGTGCTGGGTTGGTGGGTACTGGATTTAGTAAGAAATATTATTATACAAGACTACCTGACTACATCATCTGAATTCATTTGTTATTTAATAAGAATAATAACTTCAATAGTTATAATTATGCTAAGAAAAGCTATCTAATAGTATACCTACATATTATTAATTACACATTATACTACAGTGTACATTCTACGAATAAGCAATAAATTAAAATAAGAAATTATAGTATTATGCTAGTGACTATGAGGGCATCGGCATAGGCATTCCGGCATAAGCATCTTGAGAATATTATATTATTGCGATATAATCTATTTTTAGAATCATAAACTCGGAAATATCCAGGTTTCAGCCGTTTGTAAAATAAAGTAATTTATATTGATTTAATAAAGGTACTTTTTTGTTGTATATAGTATGGCACATGGGTCATGGGTAGCGGGTACTGTGTAAGAATTAAGGGGTGGTAGGTTATTCAAAAAATGAATTGCCCGATAAAATATTTCACTTCGCCACGCCACTGGTAGCTATTACTCAATTCAAAAGGTATTTATTTTTTAAAATAGCCAAAAAAACTAAAAAGTTCTATCAAAACAAAATTATATAAAGTACGGTATTTTAGCAACCAGCGAGAACGTCTGCAATTGTCCTCGCCTAAAACGTTAGCGATCTAATTCTATGGTATAATGCGCGTTATGCTATATTATGTATACTTTGCATTTAAGTAAACTTGGGAATGATTTGCTGTTATAAATGTTATTATTATTAGAGCTAATACTTGGATGAATTTGGTAATTAGATCAATTGCTGGAAAACTGGAAAAACTATAAATTAAGTACATGATTAAATCTTAACGGATGATAGGTAAGTATATCAAAAATTTTTTGTACTTTTTGTTTTTTGAATAATTTAATTTTTTTTAAATTAAGTATATTTTTTAAATTTTACGATTTAACATCGCACCTCTTTCACGATATGTAAACCACCTACATTATTAATACCTACTTGTTGTGCAAAATTGTATATAGTTGTATATTTCTTTTACCTAATAAAAAAAAAAAAAAAATTACGATTTTAGATTTTAAACGTATTGATTTCACAATGTGTGTTTTTTTATTTTTGTTTCTATTATTATTTTTTAGGACTTGAAAAATGCTTAGATTTTAAACTTTAAAGATGGTTTTTACTAGCAAATTGGTACTATAAGAAAATCAAAAGTAAAAATTTTTAGTACTTTTTTTTAACATTTTAATGTACCACAAAAATAAAAAAACTGTAGACAATTGAAATTTTGACCAAATATACACTTTTTATATATAATATTATTTTTCAAATATTTTCATTTCTTTTTGAGTTATGAAATTTTCGACATTTATTAAAAAATAAATGTTATCACTCCATTAAAAAACTTAAAAATTTAATACAAGATTCCTCACAAGTTGTTTGTATACTGATCAAAATATATCAAAGTACCTTGGTATTGCTGGTTTTTTATTTTGTAAGAATTTAAAGTTCAAATTTAGACGAAATTAGATATTTAAATTACGAATAACAATGTTCTATATTTTGTTATAATTCAAAAAAATTATTTAACTTATACATATTATTACGAAATTTACTATACGCAATGCAATTTCAAGATAAGCAGAATAATTTATAGATAATATCTATTTATATCATAAACGTATTCACATTGTCTTATGTGAACAAAAATAGAATATATATATATATTAATGCATGAACAGGTAGTGCTATCACTAGATGGCTTTTTTTCTGACATTTTTTCTATATTTCTTTTTTTTTTTGTAGCACTTATTCTTATTGTTTCAATGGTATCATACATTTTTAATGAAAAAAAAAATTGTTTTACATAAAAACGGTATTAACTCGAAAGTTAATGACAAATTACAATAATACATTACCGTATAAAACATATATCGTTAAAATAATTAAATACTAATGAAATAGTAAATTCAATGTTTTCGTAAAAAGTTAAATCAATCTCCCACAATACAATTTTTAAAATAAATTTCTTAGTTAGCATTATCAATAAATATATCGCGAAATATACTTATTGATGTAGTGACGTAGTCTCCAGAATCGTTTTTCGTACACGACGATAATATATCATTGAATTAAAATTTAATACCATCACAGTGAACGATTTTTTCCCTTCAATAAAAAATTAATTAAAATTCTAATCTTGCGAATTTTCAAATTACTTTAAAATTCTTGAGATTTTTTTGTGCCTAGGTACTCGTCTCGGAAAACAGAAGTCCGACTTCTACGTAATACTCGAGGCTGAGACGTGTATTATTGTGCGGACAAATCTCAATAATTTGAAAATCCTATCCTCAAACGGGTGTATACCTAGCTGTTTGATAAATTCCGTAAATCGGATTTCGGATAACGGCATCATCGTGGTACCTACCTAGCAAAAGCCAAAAAGCGAGTGATCCGCGTCCGCCGCGGTCGGTGAATCATCCTGTATAATATTATTACGATAAAGATAATCGTGAACCGATGTGATACCGAGTGCCGACGACCACTTGCCGGGATCGCCGCGCCGCACGTGTTGGCCGACGCTGGCACGCGTTGCCCGTCGGTGGTGCAGTCTCGAGTCCACAAGTCGCCGGTATTTATTTTTAAACGCTGACCACCGGCCCCCGCCCCGTCGACCGAAGTACGCGGGCCGCGCGTATAAATACTGACGACGACGCCTCCGTCGGTGTGTTTACGGCGCGCGTGTGTGTGTGTGCGCGAGGCGCGCGTGTTCGCTAACCGCAGTTGTTCGTCACACGACGCCGCGTCGCTTGTAGACGGGCCCACTGCGAAACGCGCCCCGCACGCGACTGCCAAGCGACGGAACGCTACGCACTTGGGGACCCGCGGCCGGCACCACCGACCGATAGCGAGAAAACAATTGTTAAAACGGCATCGTCGATAGTAATAATATATAGTAATTAGTTAACGATATTTCGCCGTTCCCGCGCTACGACGACGACGATGCGATCGCGCCCGGCGGAGCTGCGCCAGCGGTGAGCTTTTCCGGCGATCGTCGTACCCGAAGAGTGCCTACCTACCTATCTACCTACGAACAGCCACGGAGCGAGCGAGCGAGCCGTCGGCACGAAACACCCGGTAAGGCGGAAGTTTTTCCGATATATTAATTACTTCAACGTCACGACGTCGGCGTGCCGAGACGATTCGATAGAGAAAAAATAATATTAGTGTTTAGTACGAGTAAACAATAGATTAAATGTCGTGATTTGTACAGTGGTAGGGTTCGTACGTAATATGCAATATTATGGTCAGCCCGAACACGTGCTTGTCCGACATCGGTGTACAGAGCGATTCTTTAATCTTGACGTCATTACTTTTTCGGCGAGTTCCACGACGTTTCCTAGTTAACTATAAAAGAATCGCACTCGCGGTATCTCCTAATTCAATGGACTCCTGATTCTGTCTGATGGTTTTTTGTTTTCCTAAAACAAATTACAAATACTTATCGTTATTGAACATTTATCAATACGGTTGTGCGCAGTGGAGAAAATAGTGTAGAGGGTTCCCCCATCTACTTGTTGACTCCCCGTTCAAATTGATGGTCCCTACTCCCCTACACTCGAGTTGTGTAGCAAATAGTGTTACGATCGTGTACTCGGATATCGTGCGAATTTTCCAGAAAAGTTAATATTCGTAGACATTTTTCTTTTATCAATCACGCCGTCGCTTGGATATTATATTTTTGATTATGCTATTTTAAACATTTGTACGTTCGAATTAAACATATTATAAATAGCCACGTATTATTATTTATTAGTACCGACCAATTTTTTTTTTGCAACCGTCCAGCATTGTGACATCAATCACTGGCGTTTTCTCCGTCGACCGCGTATATCAAAATGTCCAAAATTTGTTTCTTCTCGTCTCTTGACTCAAGTATAAATTGTCAACGCGTGCGCATTAAATATGTTTGTGTGTATTTTATACGTCACAAAATTTCTAAGATTTTACGTTCTATTAATTTATAATAATATCCAATATTTACTCGAATATCTGTATCTTTTGTTAATAATTTCGAGAAAACGAGTCTGCTGCAGATTCGCAAAACTGATTCGTTCAATTATTCTCAGACTCGCTCGTCTGATACCACATTGATCGCTGACAAAGTGACAAAATATGTATTATACCTATACGGTCTTTAGGACACGACGTTATAGGACAAATCGATATCAGACGTGGGTATAGTTCCAGTACAATAATAATTATCTTGCGAGTTGCAATGTTTTTTTGTTTATCTGTTAAAACTTAAAAGTGACATTCTCGATTTTATTGTCGGTGTAGGTTGCGGGGTGTCACTTAAATCACTTGGCCTATTCATCTCCGATGAACCATAATTCATATAAACGTATGATCAGAAATAAGAAAAATAATGCCAAGTTTAAAATATAGGTTTATTATTTATTTATAATAATAAAGTATAAATGCGTACCAAATTGTGACAATGTGGCAATAATCACTTTGGTCGGTTCATAGTGCTGAAAATTTTAAAATCCATCTTTTGGCCAACTTGTTTCAAAATTTGAACACCTTTTAACAAATTGTCACAGGAAAAATATTGCTTCAGATCAGCCTTATTGATATTCTATAAACTTTTCTATCTATTTATCTAAACATTTATAACTTAAAGCTAATTTATTGCAAGGAGTCACTGATGATCACAAATTATGAAAAACCGTATTTCGAAGAAAAAAGTCGTATACGTCGTAACTTGCGAGTGAAAAATCAAAAACATTTATACCACGGGCCGTGGTTTAGGTTACGGTAGGTATATAAAGCATGTATGTGTATTTCAGCGTTTATGACAAAATCATTTGAAAGAAAATTTTTAATTATACTTTATTGTGGACTCGCGGTATTTATAATTATACTGCTGCTGGTTTTCCGATTGTAGGTATTAAAGTATGTCATGTTCTGCAGTCTGCAGATGGACAAGCGAAATTCATCCAATTACTACTTATCTATATATCTCTTGTTTAAAAGTATACGCTTGATTAATTTACGCATCGTTGATAGAAGAATATATTTTTTAATCGCCTGGTTATTTCTTGATTTTTTTTTTCATTTAAAATACATCCAATGTGTACGCAGACCGTGATCGGAATATTATTAACGGGTTTGTTTTATTTTGTTAATACCTTATAATTGTAAAAAGTCGTGTAGGTATATAGTCCTACTATCGACCAGAGGTATTTACGTTGGTATATATTTTGTATAATATTACTTACAGTGATTTAGTGATTAGTTACGGCCGTTACGGGGACAATGTAAAAAGCGAATAATTGAAAGTCATTAACGAAAAGTATATCAATTATCTCCGTAACTTAATGCACGCATTAATCGTTTTTTTTTTAAACATTTTGTATATTGTTAAAAGCTGAAGTTTGTTAAGTAAATATGAAAAAATTTTAATACCAAATTACCAAACAAAATAAACTAAGCAAATATTCGATCACAACAATAATATATTATAATTTTTTGTTCAACTGAGAGCATACTAAATATCTACCTAATAATATTAATACATTTTTGTCATACTCATAAATATTTAGCCCATTATTATTATTATTTTGAGAGTAGATATACAACCTGTATACAATTTAAATATTATAAGTATTATTCAATAGTAATTAAGTTCGTTTCCAATTTTGGCTGGTTTGCTATTACAGGAGATGTCAATAAGTATATGATATATAATATGTTCTAAACATTAATCAAGTATTTACTTAATTTGATTAGAACATTTTTAATATTACAAAATAAGAATTTTCTCATTTCCTATTAAATATATATTTTTTAGTTGTGTCTATATTCGATGAGTACTTTGACCTTATACATAATGATTTTGTAATTTCAAATAACACCCATTTTAATTGAGGAGGGAACGTACCAACTAAAACAAAAAAATATGGTGATAATAATAAAGACAATTATGTGGGAGTAATAATAATATACATAACTCAGCTTACGTATATAGGTTTAGGTACTAGGTACTATATATATTATTATATACCTACTATAAGCAACAGCAGCAGAACTAAAATCAAATTATTTTAATATTTTAATTATTCTTTGCTATTAATATTTATATATTTTCAAATTAATTTTTTAAGCAATTAGTGCACCACTTATGAAATTGAATTTTGAATAAATTATTTAAAGTTTTGACTTCTTATCAAATATTATCGTGCAGTTCAATCAATTTTACATTTTTTTCAAAAGATATATTAGTTTTGACTAGTAGTAGTCAAATAGCGCTAGCAATGAATAATTTATAAAAAAAATATTATACCATTTATACCTAGTTACTGAGTTTAGCTCATAGTTGTCATCCCAAAACACTGGATACAGAAATACTTTAAAACGAAAGTAAAATTACACGATTACGTAATAATATCAATTGTAATCTTAATAAACATTTATTGAAATATTTTTGAATTTGAATTTTAAAAAAATGGGAAAGTATAGGTAACTGTTGTGCTCTACAGTAAAAATCTAATACTCTAATGTATACCTTGTCATATTGTAAGTTATTGTGATGGATGTGTTAAATTTGAATTCAATGATAGGAAAATTATTCTGAATGAAGACAGTCACCTATATACTATAGTTCTACATATATAGGTACATGGTACATATTTATATTGCTATTATGGTATCTCATTTTCGGTGAAATCTAATAGCGTAAATTGTTGATTATTTTCGATAGACCAAAAGCACAAATTCATTTTACATTTTTGTACCTTAGTAGTGGGATAAAAGCTCAAAAATAAATATTGTACCCGTTACATTATTAGTTTCATTTTAAAATTGGTAAATATTTAATTAAAATAAACAATTTTAATTACATTTTTAGTATTTTTATAATCCAAAAATACATCAACAGTAATCAAGTTCAGTTGAAGTTTAATTTCATAGTAATGAATTTCAGTGAAGATTTATAATCATTTAAGATAACTATACAATCTATTATGTCTAACTTATAAAATACACTTTATTATTGTAAAATTTATTTCCACATATTATTTGTTAAAAATGTTTTTTTGCGCTTATGTTATATTAATTTTTGCGTTTTTAGGTTACGTTTGGGTCATATTTTGCGCTTATGGGCTATAGTCATTATTTTTCATAATATTGTAGTTGTACCTTTATAATGTATATAAAGAATTAATTTTTAATTTTACATGTATAATTGATATTTAATATTATTAATAAAATAAAATACAGCTACTTACAAAAACTATTAAATGTATTTTACCTATAAAAATGTATTATAATTTTAAGTACATAATAGTTTGTTGATTTTTTGTGATTTATACTTATAAAAAAGATACCTATGTATTTTTAAAGTTAAATAACTTATGTAAGATCTCTTATTAGATTTCTTGTTTAAGATTTCTCATCAAGTCTAAATAATTTTATCTAAAATTTAAAAAAATTATAAAACTTAAAAATTTCAAGTTTCTACGATTATTATTTTTTTTTTTTGTTTTTATTTGTTTAAATAAAAAAATTTAAATTGCTTAATGAAAATTGTCAGTTTATCCATAAATCTCTAATTCATCAAAATTTAAGTTTAGACGCGTATAAAAAATATTTTTGGAATTGAGCTCAACTTTTTTTTTATAATTTTTGTGTAACTTATATGTAACCTTTCTTCACATTTCCGAATATAATAGTACCAATAATCATAATTTTATGATTTTTGTACTTTAAATGATTTGTAAATTTTAATGATTTTCATGAATTTTGTAAACATTTTAACTTTAAACATTTAATGAAAGTATAGTGACTTGTATTCTCGATATTTTCAAATTGATATAATATGAACAATTTACGTGTATTTTAAGTTCTAATAAATTAAATGTTCAATCTTTTTTACCCTAAAATAAAAATAAAAAAGTATGTAAAATCGAAGAAAACTGCAAAAAATGAAAAGTCCCGACTAGCAGTGAGACATACTGTAGAAGTGTAAAGTGATTCAACAAGCCATTTTATGTTTACTAACTTACTTCTATTTTACCTATTAATACAAATAAAAATATTCTTATTTTTAAGTTTTCCTACTTAAAAATTATATT